GTAGGGGGGGGGGGGGGGAGAAGAACATGTGCACATTCCTGATCAGTTGTTAAATGTGTATATTGACTGACGTGCAAAATAAATATTTTTTTTATTTATTAACGTCTTTTCGTTCATACGCCTAATACTGTACAGTACTTGTCATTTCTTTTCTTTGAACATTAGAATACATAGACCTATCCAATAATAAATGAAGTACGTAAACGCTATATTTTATGCATAGCTTATCTTGATGTACAGCTGACAGTATATTCGTATAAGGACGCCCCCACCAACCAAAAACTTTATTGTATATGAACTGGAGTAATTTGAATAGGCATTGAAAATGTGAACGCCAAGTATGTACAGGTATTCACTTCTCCAGTTTAACGTATTCAGTAGTGTACACCTAATCAGCACCTAATGAATATATGTTGAATCGTCTTCCTATTGAACAACTCAACAACTGAATTTTCGTTGAAGGGCTATGGTTATTAATTTGAGCACTGTTTTTACTGTATTATTTATCCATTTTAGTATGCAGCTAACCTAATTTGAATACAGTATTATTTATTTTGATTTCCAAGCTGCAACCTATAAGCTTTTCTATAGATGATGCGAGTGTTTCAGTCAGTTGTACGATAGTGCCTAGGTGTTAAATCTTCACGTATATCCATAGGTTGCTGTGGTCTAATGGGTATGACACTCGCCCTCATAGCGAGAGGTTGCAGGTTTGAAACCCACCTGAGACACCTTTTTTTTCATATAACTGAATAAAAGGAATTTTTCGTTAAAGGGCTTGATACGATTATAACCTCTTGTCCCTAATTTTGAGCACTGCTATTATTTATCCACTTGTTTATACTGTGTTTACGGTGCTACACAGCTCACCTAATTTGAATATACAGTATAGAGCCTCTACGGCGGCTGAGGTAGTCACAGACCACGCCCATACGCAATTCAGCACAATGGCGCTGCAAGTAGGTTATTCTCCTACCTTTACCTTTATGTGTGTGTATTTTGTGTGCACATTAATCAACAATGTCAATGAAAATTGAAACTTGAATATGTTTTACTATAAACTGGGTATTGTTTATGACATGCATCAACAAATACAGTATAGTGTCTCCTGTGCGTATAATATAGATAAGCTTTTCATTGATGAATATATTTGTTCAAAAGTCAACTTCATAAACTAGAGTTAGGCCTATATATCAGTATCTTTATTTTTAAAACCCCAATTAATCTACACTTCATAAAAATATTAATTTTGAAACTGTACATTTGCAAACTGGAAATTAATAACAACAAAACAACAACAACAATAAAACAGCACCTATAATGCCCCATCTATCTAGCGTGCTATTCCGAGGCGCATTGACTCTTAAAGAAAAGAAAAAGTATTTAAAATAAATACAGATTTGTTGGAAAAGCAAAACAGCAAGGCAATATTATTACAGGTATTGAAATTAACAAAGTTTATTCAATAAAACCTCTGACTATATATTGGTAAAGCAAGACTGTTTCATACCTTGTTTCACAAACTTAAACATATAACAAATTTCCGGTACACCATGTGTAAATAAAATAATATGGTTTTTATTAAGGTAAAAACCACTGGTTGGTTGTCTCGACGTTTCGGTAAGATTGCTCTGACCGACATCAGGAGAAAAATAAAGTCAGAGGAGGGCAATGAAAAATAAAATTTTGTTTTCTTATTTAGCAAATAGTTTTGCCAAAAACATCTAGACGGAGGAGAAAATAAAATTTTAATGGTGAATGTAAACAGTGTAGTAATGTGATGGTTAAATGCTTAAAATGTATACAATATGGCATTATAAGATATCAGTAACCCCTAACCCAATCGTATCCCACCTAAAACAAACAGGGGTCCCATGTTGGAAGAATTCTCTTCCGGGAGACCTGGTTGAATGAGTTTTCTTAACACATCTAATTGTATTCTGCTGCGCATGGTGGTACTGTACCCATCATCACTGACTTCCGTAAGATACTCGATAATAAATACTGTAGTAACAAACATGCAAATATTCTATTATGAATTTGTGGAAGACGGGTTAATTTTCGGGGGATGAGTTATATTAGGGAGCTTCGATTTGCATGTTGGTTAACTGTGGAAGGGATTTTCTTTAAACCAGAGTCTCTGCACAATGTAGAATTGGGCCACACTTAGTCCTAAAGTTCAGACGATAATGAGCCACAACTTCGTCACATGCACAGATGATTACATCTTAGACCTTAACGTAGACATCCAACCGAATGCTCCCTAAATAGATAATATTAAATTAATAGACGATGCATGAGCTAGTGTGATTCACGCACTGACATGACCGGTTTAATTCCTTCAATAAACATTCATATGCATCACCACTCTTCCATATTGGTAACAGTTTCAAATCGTTCAAAGTATTCAATTTAGGTGCACCAGCTCTTAATACGTCCAAGAGGCATCGCACCTTTAGGGATTCTGACATGATCAACGGTCCAACGTAACACTTAACCTCTCGTAAAACTTCCAAATTAGGTAAATCTAGATCAGATAGGTAGAATCCATTACATTTTCTAATGTCTAGATATTTCAATGATTTTGACACAATCTTAAAATGGTGCTGGTTGTGTTGTATGGGAATCCAGACTTCAATAGTAAGTCTTTCTAAATGGAGTAAAGTTTGGAGTAAAGTTGTCAGCTCTTCCTGTTGCATACCACGCAAAGCCCAGTATCGTGCGAGTTTCAATTCTTTTAAGCATTCAAAGCGTACAATATGGCCGACAGATGAAGGAGACCAATCAAATGGACAGGAAATGGTAAGAATATTCGGAGAAGTACTGTGAAGAACCTTGAGAAAACGCTGAAAGCTGTCTCTTATACACATCTAGATGGGTATAAGAGACAGTGGTGGTACTGTACCCATCATCACTGACTTCCGTAAGATACTCGATAATAAAATACTGTAGTTTGCAAATATTCTACCCTGTGAAACAGTAGATTGTTGTTGTGTTGAAATCCCTGCGCATGCGCAGATCCATCCATGTTACATCTCGGAAGCTTTACCAGCCTCAGCGAGGCTGGTAAAGATTACCGAGACGCTCCGAAATTTTACAAGGATATTACACGGAGGTACTTTCACACATGCCGTAAAATGTTACTTTTGGTTACATTTGTTAAGATTTCTGCACGTGTGAATTGGGTATTAGACACAGAAGTGCGGAAAGCATTATTTATGTAAATATTTTTTAGATTTAATTTTTAATTGTATTTATGGCGTATTTTAGAGAAAGGCGAAGAAGTTGATGATGAGGATAATTTAATTACAGTACTATTAAAATATAGAAAATACAAAAATGTAACGTAACATGAAGAACTTTCTTAACGTACGAGAAGATAAGCAATTTTTAACTATAAGATGTAAAGCAGGACACAGGAGTACGAAAAGCATTATTTATGTAATTATTTGTTAGATTTTATTTCTATAGTATTTATGAAGAAGTTGATGATGAGGAAAATTTAATTACAGTACCTTTATTAAAATATAGAACATAAAGAACTTAACGCACAAGACCGAATGAGACGATAAGCAATTTTTAACCATAAGATGTAAACAAACTAAGACACAGGAGTACGGAAAGCATTATTTATGTAATTATTTGTTAAATTTATTTCTATTGTATTTATGGAATATTTTAAGTGTTGGTTGTATTGTAGAGAAAGACAAAGAAGGAAGATTAAAATTTATAAAATGTGTCAATAACGAAAGATAACATTGAAAGATAAATTTAAGTAAGTTAAGTACTTTAACTACTAAATTTGACCATTATGTAATAAATGTTATTGAATCTGAAATGATACATTGAGTAACTACCTATATCATTGCTTTACTATATGAATGATGGTATTTTGATGAAATAAAAGTGGAACATTCTTGTATGGTATTTTGATGAAATAAAAGCGGAACATTCTTGTAAATTGCAAGAATGTGGAAACAACTAGTGTTGAACTATCATTTGAGAACATCATAGACATTGGTGATGATGAGGATAGCGACATTGATGACTTGCTTACAGATCCATTGGCTTTTTAAGTTTCTTTTTCTTTTCTCTTAAACAGTATTCATACCATTTAATATACAGTATACAAAGATGATAAATCATTAAAAATTACAAAAAATTGGAAACAACAATAGTTTGTAAATGATAATTTAATTACAGTACTTTTATTAAGATATAGAAAATACAAAAATGTATGATAAAGAATATAACGCAGGAGAAGGTTTTTAAACATGAGATGTAAAGCAAACATGAGCAAACTAAGACACAGGAGTACAAAAAGCATTATTTATTTATTATTTTTTATATAGATACTAGTTAGGTTTAATTTAATAGTAAAGGTAAAAGGTTCGAAACCCGAAGCAGGCCGGAGTGCCATAAATAATTTAATGGTATTTATGGCGTATTTTAAGTGTTGGTTGTAGAGAAAGGCGATGAAGAAAGTTAAATTAATTTAAAAATGTGTTAACGAAAGATAAAATTGAAAGAAAAAATTAAGTAAATTAAGTCGGCCCTATTTTACTGAACTCATATGGAAAATGATACATTAAGTATCTCATTGCTTAATATTTAATTTAGGCCTATGTATAATCGATGAAAGAAATGTGGGACACGTACCCCACGAAATTATTTATATAATTAATTAACTAATTACGCTAATTAATTATTTGGCGAATAAGGGCTACTTTAAATTGCGCATTGTACGCGTTCCGTGCTCCCTTCACATAACCATGGAGAAAATAAAATATTTTATTTTCTCCATGACATAAGAAAATAAAATATTTTATTTTCTCCATGACATAACTTACTACAAAAAGACAAATATGCAAAAGACGAAGCTATTTTTTGTCACTTCGCTGCTTGACTTTATTGTAGCACATAGGGCTGTAACCATAGAGAAAATAGAACGTTCTATTTTCTCTATGCTGTAACCAAATAAAAATATTACTAATTATAATAAATAAATTTCTTCCTGCACTAACCAAGTAAATAAAACAACAATCATGGAATGACAATGTAACGTATTTTCATTGGACCTACTTTCCTGTTTGAGACCACCACCTGAGATCGATAGACAGTACGTTAATTATCGAGGAATGATGTTCGTGCAGACTATCCTTCTTTAAAACGCCTTTTACTTTAATAAGACGGTGGTTAGCACAACGATTAGGCCTAGACCGTCGCCAAGCGGACGCAAGAAACTATCCTATAGGCCTACAACAAAAATATTAATTGCTAACCAGATAGCAGCCTGATAAAAATAAGACCAGTTTAGCGTATCTAAGGGCTGCGGGGTGAGGCACAAAACTCCCATCGCGCTCAGTCTCCCCTCATTGTAAATGTTCGAAACACACAAAAAAATCACGCTAGATAAAATCATCTCATATCACACTTTTTCCCCTACGCCCCCATCAGGGTCTCCTACATACCCCCATTGTATCCCCTATTACAAGCTAGGCCTAATCCACCTTAGTATGCCTAAGGTAGTATGATTAATGAGGTAATTGAATGAAAAAATACAAAAATTAACAGATAGGCCATGTATAACAGAAACGGTATTTAATATAGGGCTTACAGCGTCGGTTGGTTAATGTCAAAAAAATAACAGCAATGTTAATAATAATACGATTAATGACAGTACTACCCAAATCAACATACGTCCAATCCAATAAAATGCCGCCACAGCGTGACGACATCGTAAATTTCGAAACTATCCCGAACCTCTACAAACGCACAAGGACAAACCATCAGCACAGAATCAACCAGGAGTTGTTTATCGGATCCCGTGCGAATGTGGGAAGGTTTACATTTGGTGAAACAGGACGAGATCTCCGCACTAGGCTCAAGGAACACCAAGGCCATGCCATGATCTTGATCTTCTTGATAGGGTAACTGAAAAACTCCGGCTGGAACTAATAGCCACCGTACCATCTTGGCACTCCAGAAGGACTAGAGAAGCCATCGAAATTCACAAACACAAATACTGTACATCAAGACATCGGATTTGTCATTAGCGATATTTGGCTGTCCATGTTTAATCGGACCTAGCGAAGCCCCACCATTTCCCGCCTTCTGGAACTATGCCTTTGTTTTTTGTTTTTTTTGGTCGTTCCCATCCACATTCCCGCCCTGGAAACATGGCTTTGTTTGGGCGTCCCCACCCTTTTGTTTTGTTTTCGTGAACAATGGCTTTTGTTTTAGCCTTTCACTAGCAGTCTTCTCATTGGTCAGTTTATCCATCCAATCACCATCCAACTTGTCTTTTAGCCTTTCAACCATTGGTCAGTTTATCACCATCCAGCCTCTCTACCCAAACATATAAGTATTTCCCTGTTTGGAGTGTCTGCAGATATTATTATTCTCCTGAAGACGAGCTTCTCAATCGAAACGTCGAGACTTTCTCAACTACAACAGTTCTTTTCAGAACTACTTACGTGGTGTACCGCAAGCTTCAACATATTTAAATTTCGAATTGATATAAATTTCATGGGCATAAATTTAGAAAAATAAATTGGCAAAGAAAAAGAATAGCCTATGAGAGTTCCACTTCTGCAAGTAATATAAAACAGACATCTAAGCAACGTTTATTGGGCTAGTAATTTCTTCTGCTTTATTTTTTTGTACGCAAAACTTGAAACACACACAGAAAATGAAACTAGGGCTATAACAGGTTTTTAAAGTAAGATCTCTTCCGACCTAATTAAATATATCCTCCTCCCCACTTTTGCCAACACTGGCTGCTAAGGTGAAACTTCCACATAATATTTTATACCCGGTCAGATAAATTTTCATAGTGTATTTAAATTCAATATTTTCTTATGATAAATATATTTTTATTTATAGAAAATGTATATTAATGTTAACAATTTTATTGTAGGCCTACTTTTGTGAATTATATTTTTGGACACAGCGTTTTTGGGGACCAACTTAGATATGGTTTTTGTTCACTTTCTGGAACCCCTCTCTCACTTTAGTTCGCCTCCCCCACCCTCTTTCTTGCAGTGCTTATTTTTTTTTAACGAGATAGACGAAATCGGAAATTAAATCTAATACTCTCCAAATCAACTCCAAAAAGTACAAATAAAATTAGAACAGCAACGACATAATTGTTAGAGGCAAAACTAAGTATGTATGAATGAACAAATGCTGAATTATATATTAATAATGAATTATATGTTTATAATTTTGTTAACTAATGAAAGTGCATTTGGCGCCTCGTAAGTCACCATATAATTATCTTGCAGTGCTTATTACATATAATTATCATTACTCAGTGAGTTGTAAAATCTTTACATTACAGTATGACCTTTTTATAAACCAACTGCATTATCGAAATACTATCTGAAAGTTGGATCACATCATACTAGCAAGATAAAAATTGTGTGAAGATCAAATTTTCACTTGTGGATTGCTTGCCTAACCTGAGTGTGTTTAATCGGTATTTTTTTAAAAGGCAGAGTGGACAGAGAGGTATAGAGATAAAATGTTTACTAAAACGATGTTCCAAACACTTATTTTTGGAATAGCAATGTACATTACGTGTATATCCCGTAAGTATTCAAACAACCTTTATTTGCTTCTATAGGCCTATATAGAAGTAATTATAGTGTATATTTTAAGTGATATTAATAATAATGCCTCTTTAGGGAAGTAGCTTTTTTTGGGAAAGTGGGAGCGGTAGAAAAAAAAACTCGATCCCAGTTGATTATTTGTTGTTCTTTGGTTTCTCATATAACGCAAATTTCTTGACTGAACAAGACAATGTAGCGATAGCAGTGCAAAGATTTTATGAAAACCAGGCTTAACGGCGACGGTGTGCATGCATAGGTATAACACATTGACACCCGTCACACAGCGGCGACGACGCGCGCGAAACAAAGCGTTTTTATTGACCATCCGCTCCGACTGACCAACGATCAGCAGATCGTGGAGCCTGCATTCGTTTACCGAAAGTCGTACGACGAATTGTGCGCCTGGCTTTATTATAGGGATAAAACAAATTATTACCTCTTGAAGTATAGGACAAAGCATATTTAGGCACATGTGGGAATATAAGATCCAGTACGTCTCATCCCATTACAGTCTCTGTGATAACTGAGGTTGTGTGATTCACTGACCATATTGTAGGGCCTAATGGCAGGACAAAAAACCATTTATCGAAATATTTCTTATGAATGGCTTTTTCTTCTATAGCTTGCACTAACTTCAGCTATAACTCAACAAACTACGAAGTTCGGAGCATAACTGCGCCACTTACTTGGTTGGATGTCAACAGTATTTGCAAATCTTTTGGCGGACAGCTTGTGAGCCTCAATACACCAGATGAATATGCTGCTCTATTATATTTTCTGCAAACAAATTGTCACGTTGGTATTTACGCAATCGGGTTATCCCGACAGCCTGGTCTTGATAGGTACGTAAGTGCAAATTGGATATGGGAATCGGGAGAAGCGTATGAGGGGCAGATTAATTGGGAGGGGCGAGATCCTGGTTGTTCGAATTCGAAACATTGTGTAGTACGAATGCTTTCGAAGAATGGAAATTTCCGTGACTTCAGTGCAACCAGGGATCTCAGCAAGACTACTACACGTGGATATATTTGTGAGAAACACGTCAGTAAGTAACATCTTTATAACTCGGAAATTATATCAAAGTTTCCATACGACATAGCCAATCCCTGTAAACATATCATTCCCATACGACTTTTATCCATAAAATCTTAGTGAAATTATGACTATGACAAGAAAAAGTGTGGAAGCCCCTGTTTAGTAGCTTTAACCGCTTTGAGCACAAAAGCATTATCGTATTTAGTGTCGAACCTATTTTTGTGTTGGTAAATAATGACATAACTAAACAGGTAAAAGTAATGCATTTACTGTAGTAATATAGTAGGATATTTAATATTTCAGGAACTATAATGTATTATATGATAGTGTTATTTGTAGAACAATAATAAAAACATAAATATATCTTTTAATACATACTTCTTTATCACATTTTATGAACCTATACACGGGCGTCATTTGGGATATTTACTATTCTGTCAAGGAAAAAAAAAAAACATTTTATAAGTTCGTAAGACAGAATTATTTTGTCAAAATCTATTTTGTCGACAAAATAAAAATTTAATTCATCAGAATATGACTGTCTCCCTGTTTTCTTCAAGATCAAAATTCAACTTATTTCAAAACGACGCTGCCGCTCACTGGATGTCGTCATCACGATGCTGTTGGTGCGATGAGTGCTCAATGCTTTCGATGCGCACTTAAATGCTTCAAAGACGATGAATGCCTTGCGTTTAAATATGACGATGTTGGAGGATGCCAGGTAAAATCAGACTTGATGGAAAATACAGAACTTTATTATACTCGATTGTGGGTCTAATGTAGGCCAGCAGCACATAATAACGTCTTTAACCTTGTTTATCGTGGCTAAAATGTCCTATTACACAATACGTGCTTACTATAGCATCATAAACCAACAGCGTATCTAGTTAATATTAAATCCTTATGATCGTACTGAGCAACTACTAACAACTCATCAGTGGTCTTAAAGAACGTTTGTAAATACAACCGTCGGCTACTAAATCAGAAATATAACAACTCAGAATACGAGGTGTTACAGGCCTGTGTATAAGATTCATCGTATAAATTACTCTAACTTACTTATCTTTATCATTTATAAAAATAAATAGAAGGCACTTATATACAATGTCTCATTAAATGTACATGATTATAGTTTGTTGGATTTCACATCTTGATATGAAGTCTGAAGATAGAATAATATGTATTTCACACAAATGTAAACGTACAAAGTATAAATATAATAATGTTGTGTAAGACTGAAAAAGGATACCACGAACAAGCTGAGCTTTCATACTGTGCAGTACCGTAACATAACTGAGAAAAAAAACCCCATGTATTTCTAATTGTTCATTTCGTTCTGTGTCGCGATGAGGCTGTCGGGTACTGGTGTGGGCCCAAATATTTGCAGGAGGGGGTGCAGAAAGCAGTGAACTCCTGTATAAATAGCATAAGTTTAAATGGCTTGGGGAACCGTCTTCTGTCTTGTAACTCTCCCATTTTGAGAGACTTAAAGTCAACAATAGTGTTAGCCTGAAAATTATTCTCATAAATGACCCCAACCCTAAAGAAGAATAAAAGCTGCCGACTATTTGCCCAACATCTGTACGCTCTTTTCTGCCAGCTAAAAAACACTCTAACATGTGTTGGGGAGGGGGCAGTCCGGACGTAGACGACTATCATCACCTATGGGTCTGCCCATGAGTATAATTATTTTAAGTAATCGTTCTGTGAAGCCCGGCCAAATGCTTTACTATAATTTTTGAAAGACCTTTGCAAGCGGAAGTCAAATTACTTGAGCCAATAATAATAATTTTGTGTACAATTTTAGAGCAAAAGAGGTCTACTGTTAAAGAATATGGTAAAAAATGGATTATATAATACATGCTAAAATGTTTAAATTAAAATTGTTATTTACGACATTTTAATGGGCGTAAATAGGAACTCAAAATATGCCAATATAATAAGACCTTTAAAAGAAAGGTGCTATAGCACCATTAATATATATATATGCCAATATGGTAAGATATTTAAAAGAAAGGTGCTATAGCACCATTAATATATATATGCCAATATGGTAAGACATTTAAAAGAAAGGTGCTATAGCACCATTAATATATATATATGCCAATATGGTAAGACATTTAAAAGAAAGGTGCTACAGCACCATTAATATATATATATGCCAATATGGTAAGACATTTAAAAGAAAGGTGCTATAGCACCATTAATATATATATGCCAATATGGTAAGACATTTAAAAGAAAGGTGCTATGGCACCATTAATATATATTTCTTCCAGAGCTGTGCAATCATCTGGACGGTAGATTTAGTCCTTATTCAAATTAGTGTATGATTACATAGTTTTAAAAGACTCAAATTAGTATACAACAACATAATCATATAATCATAAGCAACATCATCATTTTTCATAACCTTTAACGCAGCCAAATTCTGTGAATAGAAATTAAACAAATTACATTAGGCATGAAATTGCATGACAGACTACATTTTATTCTTGATTCAATCAATTTCAACTACTTTGACCCATGAAAGTAATAAAAACGATCGCTGCCGCACTATGATTGGATGCTACCAGTTGTCATGGCATTCCCGTGTTAAAATGTCAATCATTTTGAATAAAGTGGTCTGTATAAAAATCTAAATGTAATTGATTCGCACACTGTAGTTTGATGGTATTGATTTCCCATTATCTATAATATACGTAAGCGTGCCCGGCCAGGCCTCGTTTCCAATTTTCTGAGGCGCTCGTGTCCGTGCTAAGAAAGGTACTGTAGAATGAAAAGTACAGCATTAATGATGTTCTGTTTACTCAAATCCATTGCTGGAGTAGCAATCTATGTTACTTGTATATTCAGTAAGTAATCTTTTACTTGCTTATATAGAATGTTAGGCCTATTTTATTTCTGGCGCACACAGGGATATGTAAATATTAACTCTCATAGTTTTGTAAGCCTGGTGTCCATAAAGTTGCGATTGTATAGAAAAGATTGCAGCATTACTTATCGATCTCGTTTAACCTGATAGTTTCTCCAGAGCAGTGTGACTTTCCCTTCCCAGTCAGACACGTCAATCCGCCCTCCCGTCGGCCATGATTTGCCCGACCAAGTATGTTTAATTTTGTGGGCATAAATATCAGTTCATCCTCCAATTCGAGACCACTCAATTCCGAGACCCTTCTAATTCGGGCCACCTTTTCAAAGAACGATATTCAATCTAAATTGGAGACCGAACCCCGACACCACCCTATACTTTCAGGTCATAAAGGTGGTCTCGAAGTGAATGGCCAACTGTGTAAATAATCTGAAAACCAAAATTGTCTCGGTGCTTAGCCTTCTGGACACCCCAGCAAGGTCTCACCCGCTGGCGTCTGTCGGAAATATTCAGACCTCTTGTCGGACAGCTTCTCCTCCCAGCGGCGCCTGCGGGGGCTCATGGGCAATCACACCCCCTCCCCTCCCCACGTCGCAAAAATATATAAGCATTTTCATCATGGTTTTATTTATTACAAACATATTCTTTCACCATCAATATACACATTAAAGACTGAAGACCCCAAAACGAAGACCCCATTTTTTCTATTACGAATTTTTTTTGGGCGTATGTTTGTGAAATTTTCAAGGGTCTTCGTTTTATATACACTCCATTGAGGCCCTTCTTTTAGGTTAAAACGATCTAAACCTTTTCTTTCTTGAGTTTAGGACTATTATGTGTTTAAATAACTTAAAAGGATAAACCTAAAAAAAAACCCTAAGAAATGCGCGAAAAAAAAATTATAATTTCGTCGGAATTGATAAGAACTTCCTAAAATGTTCAATTTACAGAGGAAATTGGCCTACCGTCACAAGAAATGCGCGCGAAGAATTTGAGAATTTTAGACACTTTCAGAGGATGCATTTATCAAGGGGTGGAGAAAGTTTTTCCAAAGATTGATATTTTCCCATTCCCCCCCCCCTTTTTTTGTGTTTTTAATTCTAATTTCGTCGGAATTGATCAAAACTCCCTAAAATGTGCAATTTTTAGAGGAAATTTGCCCATTTGAGATTTTTAGGCAATTTCAGGGGATGAAAAGGGCATTTATAAAGGGGTGTGAAAGATTTTCTAAAGATAGATATTTCCCTTTGTCCCCCTGGGGTTATGCTATCCGGCTGCATAAATCAAAGGAGTTATGACAGTTTTTGAAGTGGAGAAGGGGTTGCAGGGTGTTGTGAGTCTGGTCATTATGATATCTTCCTCTTTTTCTTTTCCTTTCCTTTTCTTTTCTTCTTCTTTCTCTTTCCTTCTCCTCCCTCTTTCTTTTCCCTTATTACCCAGCCGGTACGACGGCTTGGTCAGCCCGGTAAAAACCGTCAGGGGAGGGGCAGTCTGCCCCCTACCCCCTACGCCTGCTAACACGCCAATCCCCCCCCCCCCCACCCAATGAAAAATATTTTTCTACGCCACTGTATACAACAGCTAATCTTAGGAGCCAAAAAATTCCAGGCCTATAATAAAACAAGCGGTAGCCGATGACAGGTTCTATATTGACCTATATAAATCGGAATAATGCTCGTTACTTTTTTATGGAATGATACTGAACCATCTGTAGTGCTGGTCAAACAAAGTAGTATCATTCTTTTTATCATTTTTATCTTGACTTTTTAGCTTTCACGTCCATGGCTTGCACTGACTTCAGTTATCAATTATCGAACTACCAAGTTGGAAGGATAACTACGTCTATTACTTGGTTAGAAGTCAGTAGCATCTGCAAGTCGTCTGGTGGACAACTTGTGAGCTTCAATACAGCGGATGAATCGGCTGCTCTTCTAGATTTTTTGACGAAAAATTGTCCAAGTGGTCTGTATGTAATTGGGTTATCCCGAAAGTCTGGGCTTAGGAGAGATATAAGTGCAAACTGGATCTGGGAAACTGGAGAAGCATATCAGGGTGAGATACCTTGGAATATACAGGTATTATCAGATCCTAACGAACCAAATGCAGTACGTAGTGGTGTACGAATCAATATTGAGGATGGCAAGTTCCGTGACTGCAATGTACACGGTGACCTTAAAACTTGGTATAGAACATATGGATACATTTGTGAAAAACACGTTAGTAAGTAACATTTCAAATTATATCCAATGTCTTGAGTGTCGAATTTACCTTGTTTTAAAGAATGAAGCACTCGACCTAATAAGTACAGTAATCATTCTCTACCTGTTTTCTCGTGACAGGGCTGGGGGTATTTGTAAATAGTAGGATTATGAATGAAGAATATCGGAGCATAGCTAGCTTCCAACCGAGCTCGAGTCCTTGGGAAAACACTTTATATGTTTGTCTCTCTCCCATTAATAAATAAGTGGTCTAGATAAAGGATGGCACCAAGCACGTTGACCGTTGGTAGACATACGTGTGCACCTACCCGACGCAACGTCAGTTCGCGAATACTAGTGGTGTCTGAGAAAATCGTCGTTGCCTTGTAGTCTCAGAGAGAACAAAAATTACATCTATTTAGTTAGTCCGATATCGGAGTGTCTGCTCTCGCAGCAAAATCTCCAGTTTGTGAGTACTGAGCCCTGACAATATAGTTTAATTTCATTTAGTTTACGCAAACCACACCCCACACTATACACCTCCAGTAATAATGATGATAATAATGTCAAGATTTCCTTTTTCTCTTAAGGTCCAAACTCAACTTATTTCCAAACGACGCAGCAACTCATTGGATGTCGTCATCACGATTCTATTGGTACCATGAGTGCTCAATGCTTTAGATGCGCACTTAAATGTTTCAAAGATGATGAATGCCTTGCGTTTAAATATGACGATGGTGGAGGTTGCCAGGTTAAATCAGACTTGATGGAAAATGCGCATTATTATACTCGATTGTGGGTCTAATGTAGACCTAAAAAATAACTAGGCATATAAATCCGTTTACCGTGGCTGATTGACAAGCAGGGCTGGTGTGTTTGTGTGTGGGGTGGGGAGGATCGAAGATTAAATTAGGATCGATGATTAAGGTGAATTGAGGTAATCTTTAACCACTTGGGCGTAAGTTTTTTGCTAACGAAATTCATTGGGGAGATGGCAGCTGGGGGAGCGACCAATGCCGTAGCATTGGGACAGTCCCACACACTTTTTCTAATGGGTCCACAAATGATGGGCCCACAATTTAATAAATGGCTCCAAATTATGCTATTTTATGCGTAAAATGAGTCCACTATTTATATATTATCTAGCCTAAAATGGGTTAAATTTTAAGAAAATGGGTCCAGATTTTTTATATTTTTGCGTAAAATGGGTCAACTTTTAAGAAAATGGGTCCACATTATTGAACTTACACGTAAAGTGGGTCCACCCTGATACCGTCCTGCACTGCTTGAAAATCCTGGCTACGGCACTGGGAGCGACCTTTTACTTTTTGAGTGGGGAAGGCGGTGTGCGCTCCCTAATCCCAATGTAGTAAACCACTGGCTATCTATCAATCATGTGTGTACGTGTGTAGACCAACCAAACACTTCGAATAACTCAGATCTTATTGAAAAGCTGCAAAACTCAGATAGCTTAAGACATAGCTCAGCAAAACCGTACTAAAGTACAAAGGTATAGGCTAATTCTGAATGAAATGAAGGAGTTTGTTAACTTATTTTAGAGTTTCAATAAAAGATGTTAAAGCTATAATATATTTAAATATCGTAAGTTATTTTAAAATTTCATGATTTTGATTTATATTTATAGAAACTATATAGTTGGAATCGTAAGCGAATGCATGAAGATTGTCAGTTAACTCCCCCTGGCTAATCACACGAAGTAGGGCACAAATCAATTATATGCACAAAATATGTGCCGTTTGTATACGTTATTCATATTATATTTATATTATATTTATATTTATATTTATTCAACCGAACATTTAAAAAAAATGCACAAAAATTGAAAATACCCAAGAATTGTTGTGCAGTTTACAAACTGCTCAAAATGTGTTCGCACAGTTTCTAAACTGCGCAAGATCGTATAACCTGTAGAATTTAATGTAATGAATGTATTGCACGGCCACTTCATGCGTATATACATACTTCTGAATCACCTTCATTTTACCGCAATTATTGACTGCGCACACCCTTTGTTCATCACAAATAGTATTCAAAAAATGTTCATATCTAACAAACTGCGCAACATTTTGGTCTCTCTGTGTGTATTTCTATTTTAATTATTCTACCAATTAGTAGTTCAATGACAGTCCATTTTCTAGACATCGTGCAATTAACCTATTGAACCATTAACGCTATTTTATAAGCAAATCATTACATAACACTTTTCCTTAGTAACAAACTGACGTGCCGGGGGTTTGTGGGTCCCGTGACCGAAAGTGGGGATCTGGAGGCGAAGGGTCTCCAAATCTAGTCTTTTATGTTTTAATGTTTAATTTAACTATTCGTCAAAATTAGATGCAACATGTTTATCACTCTTTTACCCTAGTGCCATGGGCTCGCATGGCGGAGCCCGGGGATCTTGAACCGCACCCTTCCCCTCTCTGCTACTGTTAACTTACAAATCAATAAGGTTTACACACTGAGTGAAGAAACAGTATATTAAGTGGATATGGTTTCACTATAGAGTCTCCTTTAAAGAAATTGATTGTATTTTTAAACATGGATCACAACCTATACACTGCAGCAGTTTCTTGATTTAATTAGAGCATTCAGTCATCGAAGACCCTTGAAACGCAACCTATCGTTATTGTACTGTGATTGGATGCAACCATTGTCATGGCACTCCCATTTTAAAATGTCAGTCATTGAATGAAGTGGTTTGTATAAAAAATCTAACCGTAATTCCCTCACTCACTGTGGTTAGATGGTAACGATATTTCCTAAGTAGGCCTGAGTGTGACAAGTCACTGTTTCCGGGAAAGACCCTACAACATTTAAAAACCATTGGACAGCGCAGAGTTGACCGAGGAAGAAGGTGCAACCTGTTAAGCCTACTGAAGAGATGTGCCGATTACTGTGTTACATTGCTGGAGTAGCAATGTACATTACCTATATATCTTGTAAGTATAATCAAATAAACCATTTATTTATGGAACGTCATAGCATGTGCTCACTCGGTCAACGTCGACACCGTAAAGCAGTAAAATTTTGGTATTTTGTTTTAAACGTCCATAGCTTGCACCGACTTCAGCTATAGCTCATCGAACTACAAAGTCGTTAGGATAACTGCGTCACTTAGTTGGTTGGATGTCAGCAGCATCTGCAAGTCGTCTGGCAGACAACTTGTGAGCCTCAATACAGCGGGTGAATCAGCTGCACTACTGGAGTTTTTGGCGACAAACTGTCACAATGGTATGTACGCAATCGGGTTATCCCGACAACCTGGATTTGACAGACACATTAGCGCAAACTGGATCTGGGAAACTGGAGAAGCATATGAGGGTGAGATAAACTGGATTCCATCTGATCCTAATGAACAAGATTCCGTCCATTGTGGTGTGCGAATAAAAGCTGCGAATGGCAAGTTTGCTGATGCCAATGTGGACAGAGACCTCACTAACAGCATCTATAGCACATACGGATACATTTGTGAAAAACACCTTAGCATCAGTAAGTAACATCATGGATGAATAATAAGATCTCACTATGTTGACACCAACATTTTTATCTGATAAATTATATTGAGTGTTTGAAAAACCATAAACGATAGGTAATAAATCAGAACATCAAATCGTATGTGTTTTATGGAGCGAAGCTAACAACAACTAGGCCTACTCATGAATACAAATGTTGGGTTAAAAAAAAATTAACCATACTAAATAACTAATTCACTAGCGGTATTTATGAAAAACTGTATTTTCTAAAGTTAGACTTTACAGAAGAACTATAATGTAGGCCTATCAAGTATTTTAAAGCAGAAAGTGGAATATATCCCATATCCCACCGATCAACAAACAATATCTTAACATGATATTTGTTTATATTTTCTCTTTTAGGTCAAAACTCAGCTTATTTCCAAACGACGCAGTCACTCGCTAGATGTCGTCATCACGATGCTGTTGGTAAAATGAGTGCCCATTGCTTTAGATGTGCGCTGAAATGTTTTAAAGACGATGGATGCCTTGCGTTTAAATATGACGAAGTTGGAGGATGCCAGGTTAAATCAGACTTGATAGAAAATACACAATTTTATTATACTCGATTGTGGGTCTAATTCTGGCCTATTGTAGAAATCAACAAGGCCATCGATAAAACATTTCAAAAAAGTTTGCAAAACTAAGATAGCTTAGTTAATAGTCAGCAAACCCGTACAAAATTAGAAATAGGGGGCTAATTCTAAATGAAATGAAGGAGTTTAACTTACGTCTATAGTTTCAATTAAAGATGTGTAGAACTATAATATAAATAAATATTATAATTTATTAAAAAATGTTATGAATGTGATTTATTATTTATTGAAAATATATAAATGGAACCGTAAGCGAATACATTTAGATTGTCAGTAAACTTCCACCTGGTTATTACCCAAAGCACATTACTGTATATAAGCACAATGTGCCGTGTATAGGCCTACGTTATCCATAAATGTGTCGTATTTGACATTTAAAAAAATGCACAAAAATCGAAAAGATGCAAGAAAATTGTTGAGCAGTTTCCAAATTGCTCAAAATTTGTTTGCAGTTTATAAACTACGCAAGGTCCTATAACCTGTATAGTACGTAGACCTAGATTACTGCAATTGATGTATTACACATGCACTCAATACACGTTTGTTTCACTTTTATATCTGACACATTTATCGCAATTATTGAAAAATTGAGTACAAAAATTCGCTCACTGTTTTAAAAATATACATAGTGATTTTAGTGAAGATGTGTACATGCTCTTTATTTATATGGTTCTTTCTGGTCAGTAGAAACAGGCCCATAGAAACCAAAAATAGATGGTTTTGGCAGAAAACTGAACATTTTTTCCCTTCAAATAAACACTACTTTTAAATGTGAATAAGACATTCAAACTAGTGATGGCTCCAGGATCTGCCCGACAGGGGTGGGGGAATAAAGGCCCCGACGGAGGGATAAAGGCCCCTACGGCGGGATAAAGGCCCCGACTTGTCTGGGGAAGGGGGGGGGGCACCGGGTGAAGCTACAGATATATGACGAATTTTGGTGAATTTTTATTAGTTATTTGATAGATATTTTAATGTCGAAACTAACTTCCAAAACCGATTTTTAAAAAATAAAACAACGAGAAACAAAGAGTATGCAATGTAACCAATTAACTTATTTTCAAATCCGTTTTCCATTTTACATCATTAAAAAGAAAACATCGTATTACATTACAATACTATCCTCCCATCATGGCGAAATCCAGGTTTTTCATAATCCATGTGATTGTGAATTATTAGCAACAAAATTATGAATAAGAATAACGTTTTACTGTAAATTCTAAGGCCACCAATTTGTAACATTATACTACGATCAATTGAGAAAACGCAATGTCACCGGGAACGTCACAGTACAAGCTTATAATTCAAAGTAAATTTCTAAATTTTGGAAATTTTGCCTGAAATCGTAAACCACGAGGTTGCTTCCCCGATCAAGATGTATTCCAAGCATCATGAGGATATCCAAACGAGCATTTGTCATAGTAGAACGAAACCATTTTTAATTAGTCTCATTGAACAGGGGCGGATCCAGAATTTTTCAAACTGGGGGAGGGGCATTTGTATTCTTTTTTTTTCTTATTTCAATATACTTAACATTAATATGCACTGACATTTTCTAAAATAGTGTCAAAACGCTGTTTTGACCGCTGACTTACGTTTCAGTTGATGTTTGAACGTACTGTAATTAATTCACTGTGAAGAATATCTGTTGTTTCATGGTCAATTGAGCTCCTGTCTCTTATACACATCTAGATGTGTATAATCATACTATATAAGGTCTAAAGTTCAGTTAGATGGTCCTTTTTCTAAACCATGCAATTCGTCGCTCACATCACGAACTAACACAATTAAATTCAATTGTGTTAGTTCGTGAAATAATACGCGCTGTTGTCGTTAAGGACTTTTTGTGTGGTAAAGAATACAAAATCGCTTGACAACCAATACGCGCTCGTTTTGACGCACTACTGTGATTTCACGAACTAACACAATCTACTTCGATTGTGTTAGTTCGTGATGTGAGCGACGAATTAATCCATTGGACCATTAACGCTATTTAATAAGCAAATTGTTACAACACTTTATATTAGTTAAAAACTGACGTTCATAACTTAATTAGGCAATGTAAATGATTTCTATAAATTGTGAATTTTTATTAAACAAATTAATATGCTATACGTTCAGCAATGCAATCTAATAATTTGAATGGGTGACGTTATTTTACTTATCAATCAATTCAATTTCTAACTATAATTCACTTATTTTCTTTTTCCATTAATTGGTCCAAGTAGTAGAAACAACAACAAACCAAAAAAAAAACAAAAAAAAAAAAACAAAAAAAAAACAAAAAACACCCCAAACTCAGTGACTATAAATACAAAGCATAATAACTCTTAGTCCCTTCTCTGGCCGTGTGCAGGGCTTCAGTGGGGTTTGGTGACCGAAAGGTGGTCGTCTGTTGGTGAAGCCCTCAAAAACTATGGTCTTTATGCGTTCAGATGTCAAATTTATGCGACTATTCGTCCAATATAAATGCAACATGATTTTTATTACTCTTTTACCCTTTAGTGTCATGGGCTCGTATGCCAGGCACAGTGCGCTTCAACCGGCTGCCCCCCTCACCGTGCTACTGTTCTTACTTACAAATTGCACTTTCAAAATAATTTTAAAATGGATCAAACCTATACTGCGGCAAGCTCTTGCTAATAATAATTAGAAATTTCAGTCATCAAAGTCCCACTTGATAAATACAACCTATCGTAACTGTGATTGGATGCAACTGTTGTCACGGCACTCCCATTTTAAAATGTCAGTCACTCGAAAAAATTGGTTTGTATAAACAAAGTCTAAATGTAATTCCCTCACTCATAGTGGTTAGATGGCAACGATATTTTATGGAACGTCATATTATAATGCATTCACATACTCTGTCACTTTAAAGCCTACATTTCATAACATTTCTACCTAAACGAAGTGTATGAACGATTGAGGAAGCTTACCGTATGACCAGGTATATTGATGTGTCGATGACTTTAAGGCCAAAAAACATTTTTTTGTGTTGGTCACGTTTTGGGAAAATCCAAAAAATGGGTAGGTCGGTAGGAAAACTTTTTTTAAAAACCAAAAATGAGTTTACGCTTAAAAAGTAGAAAATACACAAACAACAATTTTGGATTCGCATCGCATACCATGCACCAAAATAGGCTAGGCCTTGGGCCCCCTATCCTAGTCCAATGCTATTCCAGCCTTATAAGCTCATGAAAAAAAATTTCGTAAAATTTGGGTCGGTCGGGCGTGGCCAACACAAATAATTTTTTTTATATGGCCTAATGATCGAGGAATCCAGGACTGTAACAACGACAGTATACCTCTTCATTTGCATCTGCGATTAGAACTTATGCCGTTGATCACCACATGATTGGACAGTAGGCCTATCTATATAGAATTATCTAGGGGTGCTTTCTACCCCATGAATCCGCATCTGCCCTGAGAGGGGCTTTGCATAGTCAAGAGATCGTGACTCAGTACCCTTTAAAACTCTTCCATATTCAATTGAGCTCTCAGCATACATTTCCTTTATGTTTAATTAGATAAAAAGTAGGCCGCTCTTATTTCTTGCTATTACTGTAATTACATCAACAAAATAACCAAATGAATTGTAACCGAATAATTGTTACCAGTAGTCCATTTGCAATAGCACTATAATCAATAAAACCACCGTCACTAGCAGTTGCCTATAGCAACACTTTTCGTTAGTAACACACCTCTGTGCATAAAAACCAATTAGCACAGAAAATTATGTCTACCAATAGATCTTTATTCTCTATAAACAAAATTATGTCCCATGTGTCTTCAGTCCAGTATTATATTCAAATCTTGTCGGGGACATTTTCCTCCTCGTCGGGGAGCTTGGACCCCCGTCGGACAAATACTGACGCCACTCAGTGAGCGCACGCCCCCAATACTCGCACCTCACAGACGCCCCCAAAAAATCACGCTCAAATAGTTAAAAATCGCCACAAATCATTATTTTGCAAGCTCACAGCCCTCACCTAATCATCGAGCCCGAGTCGACAGCCACTCATCTCTTTTGTCTTCTTTAGAATACATCAACATCATCAAGTTTTGGCATTTAGCACTCTCTATCTAAACATGCTTCACAATATTGCGCACGCCCAACCCCCCATAAAAATACTCGCGCACCCCCAGTTTCCCTCCCAAAAATCACCTTATTTTGCGAGCTAGTGCCCCCTTACCTAATCATCGAGTCCCCATTTCAACTTCAAACCCTCCATCATCCCCCTCTCCACCACATTTCAAGACTGCCAAAGTGGCAGCAACAGTGAGGGACAGAATTCAAAATCACTAAAAACTATTATAATCAATGATTTTCTTTTCTTGAACTACAAATTGTAGACAACTAAAAGCAGAAGCCACTGAATTCTTTATATTTTTTTTAATGCACATGAATACAAATTTGGAATGCATTGCTTATCATTATTACATTTATGGTGCTTACAATATACAAAAATGAAAAATGAGAGCATTAAAAAAAGGGCAGCATTTATTCTAATACACACCTCGCTTTGAATAAACTCCTACCTCGAATAAACGTCCCCATGACACTAAAAGAAACTAATGGAAGCAGCATCATTCTCAACACTTTTTAATTTTCTAATCCGGTAGAATTACATTTTTTTAAATTTACGTTCACACAGTAACACATTTTGGCGGTAATTATGTTGTGTAGTTCCAAATTTACAGAGAAATTAAAGGGGCATTTATTTGAGTATATACAAATCCATTTTACACACAAAAATAAACATAGAGACCTCCCTCAAAACAACCTCCCTCAAAACAACCCTCCTCAACAATTGGGGCGTTTATTCCAATAAATACAGTATCTCAGTTCTGTTCGTCTGATTTTAGGATCACAATCAAATATTATATTAAATTTAATTAATAATTGATAATGCTAATGTGGTTTCCCCATTACTTAAATGTTATAATACAGGTTTCCTTCCAAATAAAGACCAATTTTGGGACCGGGGTTTCCATGGTCTATAGCAGTCTTTATTTAAATTAATAAAGATAAAAGACATTTGTGAATGTGGGACCACATAAAAGTGGTCTTTAATTGGAGTGGTATCTAATTGGAGGGAGACCTGTACAAATAATTAATACATAAAAATAGATACCTATATAGTGTCTTTTTTATTATTTGATTACTATAATCTGACACCGGCAGATTTGGTAAGAAAGTAATGCACTATATAAAAACTGTATTATTATTATGAATTTTTTTTTTGAGCATGGTTTACATAAATTTGCTACACTGATATTACAGTGCTTTCACTGCCATCCCTGAAGCAATGGACCTTTCCAAAGTGTCAATCAAACTTAACTGACCAATCAGAACAGGGCAAGAAATATATGCCTGTCTAGCAAGCAAACGTGTAGCACTGTCATTTTGTGGGACCTATGCATCAATATCCAAGGGGCGGGTTAGCGGAAAAGGTCAATTGGAAAGGTTTTCCTATTCAAACTGTACAATCAGCGATGCTGAAAGCTGTCAGTGATCATGTGTAGCAATTTTATAGAAACCAGGTTTGAACTAGTATAGAAAAATAAATATTTGAAAATACCTATTGTTCTTTTTACTCTAATTTAATGTTATTTTTTAAGGAACAGACATACATTTGGAATGCCTGGTTACATTTTATTGATATTCTTAAAAATTTATTGACTTATACAAAAAAGATGGCCTTAATACAAATTGGACATCAAAAATCCAATTTCTGTTTTTCTGCTTCTTGGATTACATTTACAGATGCTACATTATAATTGCAGGAGTAATTAATACAATAAAGTAGATATATAGTATATAGCATTACTTATGTAGCACCTTTTTATTTGTTTACTGTAATTCAACACCAAGAAATTTGGTTATGATAGAATATAATAACAATATAAAAACTGTAGTATTACATATCTTAATATATATTTTTTTTCACTAGAACATGTAAAAATAAATAAATGAAAGCCTATTCATTATTTTTATTCATTTTCAACATTCTTCAAGCAGCATACAAACAAATTTGGAATGCCTTGTTATATTTCATAGATGCATTTGCAGTACTTATACAAAATGATGACCGTATGCAAATTGGACATCACATATATCAAGTGAAGCTTTCAAAAATATTTAAAAAAATATTAATAATCTTGATAAAGACAGCAACACAGCAACAATAACAGCAGCAACAACAGCAGCAGCAACAGCAGCAGCAGCATCAACAACAGCAGCAGTGATAGCAGCAACAACAGTAACAGCAGCAGCAGCAGTAACAACAGTAGCAGCAGTAACAACAGTAGCAACAACAGTAGCAGCAGCAGCAACAACAAACAGCAGCAGCAACAGCAGCAACAACAACGGCAGCAACAGCAGCAACAACAACAGCAAAAACAACACAGGTTGTCTCATATTACATCATGGAAATTTAAGCAGTGAAAGAAGAATATACTTTGTATTACTTATAAATGGATCTGCTATCCCATCAAACAGATCATCCATCAGATAACAATAATAGTCCGCAATATTAAAAGTCCATTGTACATTTTTCATTAAACACCACATGGAACCACACGGTGGTGAAAATATTTAAAATTCTACCACCCGAGAGTAAAATTGTTTAATATAAAAACTAACTTTTTTAGCGATAATTGTTCAATTTCTGGTTAAAATCAGTGAACATTGTTATATTTGTGGTGTTTAGTAGAATCCATAAAATATATGGATCATATTAATCCATAGTTTGAACAAATCACAATATTGAGGGATCATGGTACAAATTGTCCAAAGTCTTTGATGAGTACAGTATGATTAGTCCAAGGGATCAATAATCCATGGTACAAATTGACGAACGTCTTTGATGTGTACAGTATTAGCCCAAGGGATCGATAATCCATGGTACAAATTGTCCAATATCTTTGATGAGTACAGAATGATTAGTCCAAGGGATCAATAATCCATGGTACAAATTGACGAACGTCTTTGATGTGTACAGTATTAGCCCAAAGGATCGATAATCCATGGTACAAATTGTCCAATACTTTTGATGAGTACAGAATGGTTAGTCTAAGGGGTCAATAATCCATGGTACAAATTGCCCAAAGTCTTTGGTGAGTACAGTATGATTAGTCTCAAGCGATTAATAATCTATAGTACAAATTGACCAAGCTCTTGGTTAACAGCATGCAGAAAAACATCTTCCATGTGCACATATTATTCAAATGTTTTAATCTTTGATTGTCCAAGATGATACTCTACCATATCTTCACCTGATGATGATGATGTTGAATTTCTTCATGAGCTGCATGCAAAATCTCCCTGCCTCCATTTTCAAGGATTTTGATGGCAAGATCTCTGCCCAAATCCTCCGCAGCTTTTAGTGGTCCGACAGGTTTACCGTGGGCCACTATACCGGAGAACAATTGCTGACTGCCGAATTCCTCCACAGCTTTTACTGGTCCGACAGGCTTACTGTGGGCCATTATACCGGAAAACAATTGCTGACTGCCAGATTCCTCCGCAACTTTTAGTGGTTCGACGGGCTTATTGTGAGCCACTATACCGGAGAACAGTTGTTTACTGCCGGATTCTTGCTTTTCCTTGAAAAAAAAAAGAAAGATAAGACAAGACATATAAAAGCAAATTCTTAAAAATCCCAATAAATAATCCTAAGTATCCTTAAACAAGTTTGCTACAACACATGAAACTTGTGTATAATAATTATGATATTTATAAACAGATGGACAAACATTTTGTGTATATAAGGCTTCAAGATGAGAGATCTCATTGGATGGTATGCTAAATCATTGTGATTGAGCTGCCTGGGTAGTTTGCAGGCTGGAATTCTGATGACAAAACCCCATTCCAGCCTTTGTTTACTCACTATGCGGCAACAGTAGGTGTTCCAAGATGAACCTACCTCTGTAAGATCTGGTTAAATGAGCTTTCCTGCACATCTCAGACGTCCCAAGTCTACCGCTACTTGTGGTAGTCTACCGTTTTTAGCGACGATCTACCGTGCTACCGTAAACCTACTTTTTTCTACCACTACCGCTACCGATTACATACATTTTGAAATAATATTTTCGTCATTTTTATGCTTACAGACTTGCTTATGACTGCCATGCATGAACTGCATCCAAATTCCACACTTTTCTCAGCTGCAAAAAAGCTACTACTATTGAATACAATATTAAACTAACAGATGCCAGAAAAGAAGTGAAAAAATGATGTGTAAATTACGGAATAATGTAGACTAGGATTACTATAGAGTAGTAGATTCTAGAAAAAAAGGGCAATTTATGTAATTTCATGGTATTAATTTACATTGTGTAAATAAAAAAGAAAAGAAGAGCAATTGTACTGTTTGTTTGATCATTAAATTTCAAGTATTTGATATTATGAGTAGTTGCGTATTGGCTGCAACGCAATGCACGCTCTAAATTCAGACGGCCAAAGGTTCCCGACAAAATCTCCTGTGAATGGACTTCTTCAACTTGGGACCCCTGACATCTAATTATATTTTGCTGTACATGGTAATACCATCACCAGCTGAACTTTGAGAGACGTGGGGTTATTACCAGGTGATTCTTGCTTGGTCGCGGTGCAGAATCTGTTCCAATTTCTAGAAGACTCCCAAAACCCACAAGAGACTTAGGACCCTTGTAATGATTATGGCAGATGCAGGATTTGGTGATAGGGGGTGCATGAGGGATCATACCACCTCGGCCCCACCATGGTTGGGGCCGAAAATTTTGGGAATATGGACCTCTAAGTTCTCGAAAATTGCCCTCACATACCTTAAAAAAAATATTACCAGTAATTCATATTAACAAAACAATTATTTTTCCTAATACAAATTAAGGGGGTGCGATCGCATTGTCTGCACTCCCCTGCCTCCCCCCACCCCTAGAATAGTTATCGCTTTCATATTTCATCATTTCTCTATCCAATGATGCAGAAAAATAGAGATGGTTATCATGAAGGCCTTCGGATCCTGAGTTGAACTCAAGACCTTCATATTGGAAGGCGAGCCTCTTCAGTAACCACCACGCCAGAGCTCAATGATGTTTATGTTTGTGCTGACAACAATAGTAAAAGTATTAGATCCAATGAAAAGAGGTGAACTATTTGAAAAATATAATTCCAGCAACTTACAGGACAATCTAAATCAATACTTGTGCTCATAGACATCTTCACGCACTCTGACCCATCTAGACTCAGTGCAGCAGCTGTCAGATGCATCTGATGTTAAGAAAAGATAAAAAGATAAATAATCATGCTGATAATTAAAATGATAATGATAACTGAAGATGATAATGATGCTAGGATTGATGATTATTTTAATTATAGTGCTAATGATGATGATAATAGTAATTATAATGATAATATGACTATAGTGATGGTAATTATAAAGATATTTTGGTAATAATGATGACAAAAGAGATAATGATAATAATTATAACCTTACCTGGCCTTCCTTGATATCAGTATAGACTCCAACTGGGGCGCTACAACCCCCTTCCAGCTTACGCAACAGAGCACGCTCAGCTATACACTCTAGTAACGAATCCATGTGGTGGAGTTTTGACAGAAATTCAATCATTTTATTATCATCTGATCTGACCTCGATGGCTATCGCTCCTTGACTTACCGAGTACATGCACTCATTTGGTCCTAGAACCTGCCAACCATAATCACTGTAATTAGCTGTATTGTTTATGTAAATACTTTTAATTGGTAAAATGTGTACAGCCAGCCCGGGCCACCCTAAATATTTTAAAATTATAAAAAAAAAAAAAGTGGAGAGAAAAAGGAAATTATACAGTATTAAAAGTCAAGGCTGTAAGTGCCATTTCCAACCACCTTGTTGCCATAATCATAATTGGTAGAAGTGAGGTAGGTGGTGCTTGGGTACCACAATTTTTTTGTCCTTCTTATAATTATTATCATAATGATTTACCACAATTTTTTTGTCCTCCTTATAATTATTATCATAATGATTATATGCACTACCTGATTAATTCGTGAATTCCATCCCATTCGTTCGAGACCTGCCTTGGCTAATATGAGGGCGCTGTAGTCATCTGCCTCATCCAATTTACGCAAACGAGTATTAAGATTACCTCGCTGTGTAAACAGATAAGGAAGCAATAGAATAATAAGTATGTTCTTAGTAATGCATATTTTAATGCTGTTGCTTGCTATAATAAAAAGTAACAATTACAGGTATATTAATCAAGTTGTCATTTTTTTTTTTAGTAGTTTTTTTTTTTACTTACGGTTATGGTTACCGAATTTCGGTCATTGTTTGGAGTCAATATCACGGTGAAATAATAATTATTAGGCCTAACATGGGTGATACATTCTGGCTCTTAATCCCGATGACAATCAGTGTGTTATTCGTTTCTGAATAGAGTTACCTCAAGTCACTCTTGAGCTTCAACCTCTATACAAAGGTCAGATTTCTTTTGCAATGACGATATATTTTCACTTCTTTTATAAATGAATATTATTTATTTGATACATAGTTTTGAGTTACCAAACTGTGAAATGAATAGTTTTTGGCCCATGGACCTTCAAATGACATTTTGGTTAATAGCCCACCTATTTTTTGCTTCACTTTTGACGATGCCTCTTGCAAGGAGGCGAAACATGTTAAGTCAGAAAGTAGAAATAAAAATTTTCTTACAAAAAAAACAAAAACTGGATTAACCAAAAGAAAATTTTCAGAAATATTCTATTAAATCCAAAATGAACTGATTTCCTCTAATTACAGGAATGTTACATAATAATAATAATAATAATAATAATAATAATGTGTTATATATTCATTGCATTAATGATGATAATTTTGTTTAGATGATGATGTCAATAGTGATGGTGATGATGAAAAAGACAAAAATGATGATAAAAAATATAAGGAAAATGAACACAAAAAAAAAAAAAACAAGTAAAAGGATACAACATCTTTAAAAGCTAAGTTCGGATAACATCTCTTTAATTGTGCTCTTCTCCTTACGGAACTTGTCCCTAGAACACTGAAAGAAAAAACTACAAGTAAATATTTTTTCAATTAATATGTGAAATGCTATCACAAACAACTATGAGATTCCTTATACTCTCTGTTTCCTCAGCCCCATTCCCAGCAAAATTTCATTTTTTAAGAAAAATCTGATTTTGATATATACAGTATATTAGAAAGATTTATAAATACAGTAAAACTCCAATAATTTCTAAGATGATGTTATTTTACATGTCAAATTGTTGTGTTTTCCATTAATTAACATTCTGTAAGACAAATTTTATCTAAGTCGAACAATGTTTCCATTCCATTTTGGATTCGACTTAGTGAAGTTCAACAGTATATTCCTAAGCATGAAAAAAAGAAAGCAAAATTAAAACTCAAATTTGACTCTTATGTTCCACAAAAAATAAAAGCAGATGAATTTCCTACATTTGATTATGCGATAGGTCTAATCTATTGGTTAAGAAATGTAGCAGGCACCGGAAACATTAGCCTAGCAACACTGCTAGGTTATGCCTAGCCTTACCTCGTATTTTAGGTTCTGTATAACAAGATATAAAAATGATATTTTCCGTTGCTAGCATTGTCATATATGAAATTTTATTTGAATTATTTTGAACAAAGTTGTTAAAAACGATTCTGACTGAGATTGTGACAATTAAATAAACATAATCTAAAGGCCTAATCGACTGCAGTGTGCGAGGTATAAAAACTAATCTCATTAGAGAGGGTGCACTTTATTTAGTGCTCAAGATCGTATCATCGACGTTTAGTGAAATTTTGCAGGGAATGGAGGTTTAAACAATAACATTCCAATAAAAAAAAAATATATTGGCAGCTACATTAATATGCTACACAAGTAAAAATATTTCATATATCGGTTGACACTACAAAACAAAAATATATACATAGATTAAATGGCTGAAAGTACTGAAAAAACAACAATGCTGTGGGAGACAATGGCTGATCTTGGTAGAGATACAAATTTGACATACAGTATATATAACATGGGAATATTTAGAGGACTTACCTGCCTGTAGGTAAAGTTCGCAAAGTCTTCCCAGCATGCTTAGGATGAAAAACTACAGCATCATGGGGATCATCTCTCCTTGTAATAAGATGTTACATCAGAAAAAATTAACACAACTAACAAAATAATTAACATACTGATTATTAATCCAAATTTTGAAAATTTTATTTGTATTCATGAATAACATTTAAGATAAAAAAAAAAAATTAGGAATATAGTAGTTATATGTGTACAGTAGATTTTCCATAATAAAACTAGAGCAGTCACCTGTGCCTGAATAATGAACAATACACAGGCCGCGGGGTTATGGGTGATTCTATTATTTTCTTTAATACTCGAGGGTAAGTTCAAGGAAAAAAGGTCAAATTTCAGTGACCTTGACCTTGTGCTTTCTTTCTAAAATTTAATCACCTCTTTCTTATATTATTATGTGCTATTCCACTCAATTTTATGATCATCATCCCTTAGGTTTTGCATAGTCTTTCTAACAGACATTGATTGATGGACGGGGTGAATACATAACCTCCTTGGCAGAGGTAATAATACTCAGCAGCGTATCACATAAAATTACCTTATTTTGCGACTTAGAGCCCTTTATCTTATCCTCGAGCCCCCCCCATGTGACCTTTGTGCTCCCCATCAGCCAACCACCCCCCCCCTCTTCTATTTAAAGACTCCTAGATACGCCACACATAATACTGCAACTCGGAAAAAACTTGTAGATGGTTCGGGAAACTTGGGGAGAACTCGTACCTACTCATAGCAGCTCAGAACTTGTGGCGCTAATTTTGAACATGCTTGAAAATGAGTGCGACGAGTTGACAACTCGTAGTAAACCTGAAGGACTTGTAGTAACTCGTACAGTATTCGGGGTAGTCCTACCTAACTCGGGATACTCGTTGGCTGTTTTGTAATCCACAAGTTTGATGCGAGCCCCTCGAAATGAGTACGAGCACACCGAGTTGGTTACGATCACCAGGAACATTTGATTGGAATGCTCGTACCTAACTCATATCTAATTCGGTACAAACTGGTTAAGCCTGTAATAATCTTGTAGTAAACTCGGTGCTTTGCTCGGCATAATTCGTAGCATAACTCGTAACCAACTCCGTAAGGTCGTACCTCACTCGTAGCTAACATGTAGTAAGCTCTATATAGGTCCTTTCCCAAACGAATTAAATCATGAGTTTCACAAGTTTTTAACTTCAGCTTCCTATCCTGGTGACAGTTAAAAGTCCTTGGTCAAATTGTATACCTCTATGGTCATCCCATACTTACTTGATCACAGAAGCTATGACCATGCCATCAGGAAGTGTCGTTGGTAAATCCTTGAAAGAGTGCACAATCATGTCGACATGTTTATCTGCTAATGCTTGTTCTAATTCCTTTGTGAAAAGGTTTGTCTGTCCTATTTTAGACAATGCTTTATCCTGGATCTTATCACCTATGGTTTCCATGGTTTCTAAAATGACAATCCAGCATTAAAATTAATATTTATGACAACCAAACATAATAATTATAATTATTATTATTATTAAAAAGCATTTATATAGCGCCTTTACAAAAAAGATCAATGCGCTGTACATCAAAACCCATTATTACAAAGATAAAAATAAGTACAATATTTTAATTAAATCAAATAATAAAAATTGCACGTACAAATTACAACATTCAATAAAAATAAATAGTAATAATAGTTCTCAAATTTTATATTCCTGAATTTTCTATATTTTATGTGGACTTCGGGTGTAAATGAAAATAATTGCATATAGCTCAAATTAAAAAATGGGTCATGTTTGTTAAAATTAAACTATAGCCTCAGTGATATATATCAGAGAAATATTTGCTTCATAAACACAACTCCTAGCCTATATTCAGGGCTGGAAAAAGTGTTTGACCTATGGTCGGAGGCATTGACCATTACCCTGGATACATTTTAGAATTTTTTTTTTTTTTTTTTTACAAATTACAACATAATGCATACAGGTAATTAAATTTAATATTTATGCTTGCTCCAAACTACTAAATAGTGTAAAGATAACATTTGGTGCTGCAGGCATTTGATCAAGATAATTTTCATGGTTTTGAGGGACAAAAATATTTTTTCCAGGCCCCTGCCTATATTTATGTAATGTATTTTGTTTGAATTAGCAAAATTTGTAGTTTAGTCAATTGTCTGAATTCAACAAATATCAAATTGAAACAATAAAAATTCTAATAAAAAAAATTAACATAATAATAATTAATTACTGATAGTACCACATCTTACCAATCTGATATTCCATCTCAGGATCAACTTCCTTCAAAGCACTTATTACTTTCTTTGTCTGTATCATTGCAAGCTAAAAATGACAATATAAACAATAGTAAATCAGTTTTTGAAGGTTTGCTTCAGTGGTGGCAAGAGTGGTGTGCCGGACAGGGACACTTCTATCCTCAATAAAGCTAAAGGGGATTTGCTCCCTCCACCCTCTCTGAAGGGTTTTGTGCAGCTTCTGGTCAGGTCTGGTCTGAACATCAACCTCACAAACTCTTTAGGGACACTGGCACTCCCCATTGGAAAATCATGATGCCCCATTGATTTCCTTGGTGCAAAAACTTTACAAGAGTTAATTTATGAAGCGGTAAATATTTTGATGGATGGAATTTACACAATGAAGTTAGTATTGACAATTATTTGACAATTTAATTCTAGAGGTTAATGGATGAATGGATATATTTGGTGTAAACACCAAGGATAACCCACAAATGTCAGTGGGTCCTTCTACATTTAGTGGGAGTACACTGGAAGAAAATCCCCTACTCTTTTCCGAAGATGTACAGCACTGCTTTATTTACCATGCTCATCAGGCCAAATATGAACACGGAACCAACGGCTTAACACTCTGCCCGCCAAACACAGAAATCTCCGTGTTTGGTAACGCAACACTTGACCACCAAACACGGAGATCTCTGTGTTTCAGTTTGGGGTAATCTCCGTGTTTCAGATGGGGTAATTACCAACACGTACTAACAATTTTAACACCATATTCAGTCTGGACTGTAAGTGTTTTGCTACAATGTGACTTATTCTCATTGACCTCATATTGTATACTAAAACGCGGTTATCTCAGTTTCATTGTATGAATATGCGTAAAACACAACAAAAGTGAGTCACTTTTATTTTACTGTTAGGGGTCACAGATTGTAACCCGATTAGAATAAAGTGTTTGGTACCATTGTAAAGCAAAGATGTTTGTAGTGCTTCTAGTATTTATTACATGTCCCGCACTACCTTTCTGACGCCTTTACTCCATTGGGCAGATTTCATTCTCACAATACTAGGGGAAGTACTAGAGGTAACTTGAAGGTTCCTATTCAGAAACAACAGTCAGGCAGAAGGATGTTCAAATTCAGAGGAACCAAATTGTGGAACTCTGCCCAAGGGAGTAGATGAATCTAAATCAATCTTGCTTTTTCCTTTATTTTATTAAATTATTTGTTCTTTGTCACTAATAAACAAAAATTTTATAAAATAAGAAGTGGTTAGTAAAGATAAAAATTAGATGACAGTTAATATAATTTATTTAACATCTTAATTGTTGGCATATTCAATCCTATTAATGTTATTATTATCATTATTATTATTATTGTTAATGTTCTTTAATTAGAGCACGGCTTTGGCCTTTTTTATTCGACTTTGCATAAAATATAAATGGTTCTGTTTTGAGTTTTCCGTTTTCATATGCAGGTCTCCATTTTCGAATATAAAGAACAGCACCACAACCACTACCATTCTTTCATATAAATCATCCTATCTAACAATTATTTACTAATCAAATAGAAGATACATAAATCCGACCATTAATTTGACAGAAAATTTACAAAAGAAACAATTCAAATTTTCCAAACACTCATTTCATTCATTTATTTTAAGATTAAAAAAAAAAGGCAATACAATACAAAATCAAGCAAGACTACAATAGCTAGGTGCCAGCAGCTTAAAAACCAAAAAAAAAAAAAAAAAAAAAAACTCCAGAGAGTCAGCTGCCAGCTTCTCTTCCGAGATTATGCTCAACTTCTCAACACAAATAAATCCTGCAATGGAAAGATGTCATGCGCAGATACCAAAAGTTACACAAAATTGTTCAAGCAGAACTCTCAGCAAAATTAGTGTACCTAAATACTACGGTGGGGGAAAACTAGAAGATGTAACAGCAACATGTTCTATTAACTTAAATTTTGTACTCGGTAAAATGGGTTATACTGAGCCGATTTTCACCATTCAAAAGTCGATATGAGATGCTAGTTAACATTTACTAAGTTTTTTGGAAAGAAAATAATGTAATTATGTCTCTAAATAGAAGTCCATATGCACCAGCCGAATGTAGTACAATTGTTTATCAGTGAGATTACTACTCAATAAACAATTTTATTACTTGTGCAAATATAAATACTGTATGTGGGTAACACACATCTTTATATGACTTTTCATGGATCTCGACCTCCTATAAACCCCTGGAGGTCTGAGTGTTCAAGGACGATGCGTTTTCATAACTTGCATTTCAGCCCTACATTCAGTTGAAACATTGAAATAGAATAATAACAACTTCACGGTTCAGCGAACACACACAGTTCAGTGATAGAAAAAGCTGCTCACAATTTTAAAAATAATTCGTGGATGTCGTATACCCAGGAAACTTTAATATAGCACCCATCTAGCTTAGCGTACATCTTCAAACAGAAACCAATTTGCATTAAATCAAATTAAGGGGTGTCTCCGAAAGGAGGCTTAGGAAGTCCCGAGTAAAGATGGGCGTCTCGCACCCGTTGTTCAGGCCGTGTGCACTTGCCTACTTCATGTAGGCTATGTAGGCAGGCTAGCTAGGAGAGGCCAGTAGCCTAGGTCTACAACTGAATTAACATACCTCGCTTCTCCTCGAACCAACAACGATCAATGTCTTTCTTTCACTTGCCATGTTCTTCACAGTTTATGTCTATTTTCCTAGCCTAGGCCTAGATGCAGTTTCTGCTGTTGTAGACGGTGTGCATGCAACAGGCAACGTGCTGTCTAAAGGCACCGCCTCTGACCTTATTCAAATGACCTTTAATTTATGCAGGTTCAGATCATAGAGATATAATAGCTCTATGGTTCAGATTTACTTTCCTTTGGGGGGAACGAGGACTAAAGACATTTGCGCATGCGAAAACGCAATCCGTTCTGGATGGAGTCGCGTCGTCCGTCGCCCAAATCGAACGCTTCTTATGTCAAGCTCTACTGCCCCCCCTCCCCACTGGTACCACCCCTGGTGAAATTGTTGGGTGCAGCGAATTTACCATTTGATATTTTCAGCTTCTGGAAACAGTGCGATCGCGCCCACTAATTAGAAAAAATAATTGTTGTACTGTATTGTTGATATCAATTAACAGTATTTTTAAGGTATGAGAGTACAATTTCACAAAAGGTTATCACCAACCATGGTGGGGCTGAGGTGGTATGGACTCGCGCACCCCTACCCCATACCGACAAATCCTGTGTTCGCCCCATTTTTAAATTAAGTTTCTTGTGGTCTCCGTTGGCAGATGTTGTTTGCTTCTGGCCCGAGTGAAGGGTTAATTAAGTTGAGCAAAAATATAGCACCTAGATGCCAGGAAATGACACCGTTAATACACGCTTTTATTTATTTTTTATTTGACAGATTCAAAGACAAAAAAATATTTAATTTTTAAGGCCTGTTTATCGATATCGAACGACGAAACCAAACTAAAAACAATTGTTCCTACAGGAAATAAAAGAAATACATACAGTACGAGAAGTTTTCACACTAGCACAATTTGCTGACGATTTATCGTGAATAGGATAACAACATATTTTGACAAATCAAATGACGTCATAATCATGGAAAAACGATAAAATTGTAGTACAGTTGTAAAAACGATTTTTTTTATCGTTTCCCATGAATATGAGTTTATATGATTTGATTTGTATTATTTTTGATCGTATACACGATAAATCGTGCAAATTGTCGTGCTAGTGCGAAAACTGCTTATTTCTTTTATTTTCTATGTGAACACTGGTTTGTTATCATTGATCGTTATCGTCAGTGTAACCAGGTCTTTACATGTGCAGAAATTAACCACTATTTTTGGTTCGTATAAAAGTGCGAGTACTAACTGGAAAACTTTGCCATGTCATTTTTTATTTATATAATTTTAATTCAGACATCTACTTACTACTCCCAAACTTGACATTTTGTTCAGACGGTAACCGATCTCGAAAATCCAGACACTAACTACAGTATTTTGTTTTAAGATATAAAACGTTGTAGAAGGCTTGTTGAGGTTGTATGTATATTAATTCATGAAATTTGCGAATCTTGTGATTTTTAAACCTATCTTGGGATTTTTTAGATCCAATTTTGCACCGATTACAGACACACAGGAGTGAATTCTGTTCCAACTGAATTATGTCTACCTTTATAATAATTGCCCATTTTTTATCGTTGCTCTAAAATTATTAGAATAAGTAAGTGCCCGGTATTTTATTTGTTTCTCTATATCCAATTAAAAAGAGATTATGTTTACATTTGGCCTAAGAACATCAATTAAAATTTCAAGCAATCAATATGAAAATTACATTCAGACTTAGGAATGTGCCTAGGGTCTCTCTCTCTAGCAGTGGCGTATCTAGAAATTGGACGGGGAGGGGGATGGCGTGCGAGAGTAATTTTTGGAGGAGCGTGCACCCTCTAGATATGGCACTGCTCTCTAGGTACATTTTTCCCCAATGATTAGTTTTTACATGAATATACAGGCAGTATCCCCATTCCTCATTAAACTGATAAAGTGACATAACATGTCATGGGGTCTGGGGAGAGGAAGTGTGTAGTATAGTATATTACTAGAGGCCCTAAAACAATATCATGAATACATTTTGTATGGCTTTCTATAACTTTAGATCACCTTTAATTTATTGTTTTTTATTTGTTCCAAGATAAGATAAAAAAAAAAATTGGCTTCTTCCCTGATATGTTGTGTGCCCCTGGATCTCCCGCTGATACCGTAAATCTATATTTAACAATACCTGGTACACATGCATCATCTTGTCTAAGGGAATTGAAAGAAAAGTGTTTGAAAAACGAATATGCTTCTCGAACTGATAGAAATAAACACATTGATAGAATTTGCAGTTACGGCAACTTTCTCTGCCTTTTATTATTCACAAAAACTTATATTCGTTACTTCCTACATGACGCTTTATTTTATTTTGGTGTATTCTTTGATTTCACCTGCGCGGCTATTCTGTTGAGATCTCGATGCCCCTGACTTGTCAACCGACGCCCACTGCAAGCAAAAAGAAGACAATTATAAACTTTCAGCATTAATTCAGTTAATAATATTACCCAATAATAACTTGGCATGAGGATAAACTATTACTAGTGATAGATATTTTTTTAGAAAAACGTGTTGTCCTTATTTACAATACATAAATAATGTTGTGTTGTTTAAGAATATTCTTGAACCAAATACAAGTGGTTGTAGTAAATCAAAGCAAGTACAGTATTTTATATCATTTTCCATTTCTTGTACAGTATATATTTCAAATCTATAAAACATTTTAAACCATTGAATACAATATATTTGATTTCAAACTGTACTTAAATGATTAATGTGGAAAATTGATAAAAATCTTATTGAGGACTTTAGGATGAACATAACTGAAAATACCACTACAAACCTGTTGTCTTTTTTCTCTACCACTCTGATAGATTCTAAAGACTTGCAGATATTACGAGCAACACTTTTGGAGCCACGGCAGAAATGACTTGGCTTTGTACCCCTGCGTTTACGACCTAAACGATATTGAAATAAAAATATATTGCTTCATTACCTCTGTTTACATGTAAATGACAAAAAATAAACACACATTCAACACATAAAATTAATTATTTTTTTAAATGAAATATTTGCAATATGTAAACAACTTGGAACCTTCAAAATACCCGGTGATGCCTAGTAAGCAGGTCACTAGGGCCTTAGTGCATCCCTACCCCCCGGAATGCATAGATCGCATAAGGCTGGGGTACGCATGTCATTAGGACCTTAGTGGAATAACACCCCTATGGCTTACCCTGTGATGCATAGTTCAATTAGGGTTGGGGGATGCGTGTCATTTGGACCATAGTGGGGTAACATAGTTACCATTGTATTGTTTTAATTTTGGTTTCATTGTGTTTGTGACCTTGTTGGCACTTGTAGCATTAAAAGAAAGTGAAATGATTGAATTAACTACTATTTTTAATTGACTTTTAAATCTTTTTCCTGATTTCATCACATCTTTTATCATTTTGCATTAACTGTTGTTCTTGGCACTGAAATTATAGTTACATGTTTATATCATATACAGTATTGTAATAACATATATTCTTGTGTAACCCTTAAATTACTAGAAGCGATGTAAAAAAAACTCTTTCCTACCTCCATAAACCTTTGTCAATCCACCTACACCGACACCACCTCTCATGTAAAGGTGTCTAGCTACTGATGCTGCTCTGATGTAGTACCAATCGGCATCATACGGAGACAGTTCCTTATGGACACCAAGCTTGACCATGTCTGCCCAATCAGGGATCTTCATTTTACCAGACCTGAAAATGCAGTGGAAAACTATTAGTATTATTTTACCAGACCTGAAAATGGAGTGGAAAACTATTAGTATTATTTTACAAGTGGAGTTCAGCTGAAAATGTATTTCCTAATCCATAACATTTACTTTTTGAAGAAGGCAGCAAGAGCCTTGACAAACTCATGCTGGTCCACGTCCTTGACTGTACATCCACCACCGGGCATCTACAAAATACAAAGTATTAAAAAGTTAAGTTTAAGATATCAACAATGGTACAGTAAAAACGTACTATATTTACCTACAAACCAAAATACTCACAAACGTGCACAGCTTTCTTTGTACAAGAATCATCATTGACA